AGTGTGAGACGATATTTAATTGGCACTTTAGTGTAAGTGAGACTATGATTGTCCCTCAAGTGTAAGCAAAGAGTCCAGAGTGGTCACTCAGGATGGTCACTCAGGGTAGTCACTCAGAGTGGGGTGGTCATAATGTGAAGAGGGACGGAACTGACACTTTCCTAATATCTGAGGTGGTCAGTGGCGCAGCCAAAGGGGGGGGGGGGGACATGAGGGAACTAAAGCCCCTGATACAAATACTTCTAACTTTTGTTCAATTAATGGTTAAGTTTCACTATCATATTGACCAGTGACCACGACAGCAAGATAATTTAAGAAATTTCAGATACATACTTAAAATAATATGCTTGGAAAAACTATTTCTTTGATTTTATCACCATATGATTTTTAAGCTTTTCCTCTCCACCAGATTGTAATCCTGGCAAGACCCAAGAATGAAATTCTGGTTAAAGCCCCCAGCTTGTAACCCTGGCTTATGCCCCCAGCTTGTAACCCTGGCTTAAGCCCCCAGCTTGTAACCCTGGCTTAAGCCCCCAGTTTGTAATCCTGGCCTGGCTAAAGACTCCCGGATTGAAATCTTGGAGGCGAAAGACCTCAGACTGAAATCCTGACTGCGCTATTAAAGGTGGTCTTGGCTAGCCTATGTCTGATGGAAATGGCAGATCAAACACCGTGTCATGGTACTACAATGGTAGTTTCAACAGGACAAGCCTTTATAAAATATTGCTTATCTATGTTTCTGTATTACCTGACCTGTCGGCATCTTTGTGTCCTTCAAGCCGCCGAGTTTGTCAATCGGATCTTAACTGCAAGAAAAAAAATGAAATGGGTCTTTCAGTATAAGAGAAGTACAGATGAAGCATTCTCCATTGAGCGTCTTGGCTCTCAAGTTTGGTTGGATGATGCGGAGCCGGAACACTGTAGACAAAATGAAAAGTTACCAGAGTTGAGACGCCAGCTCACACACCAGGAACAACACATGAACAAATATTTGAAATATTTTGATTATCTTTCAGGCAAAACTCATTCCCAGGTGAGCACTGAAGAGCCCCAGTTTGAGTCTCTTAAAGAACATCTGAATCGCCTCCAAGTGGTCTTTAACCACCTGTTCTAATGTCCTTTAGATCATATTAGAATATTTTCTTCCTATTCGGAGTATCTTTCAGATGAATATTTTCTAGTTTGAATCTCACGTGGCTGAGGTTTTAACTTATTTTAGTCACTGTAAGACGAATTTAATCTTAATACAGGGTACCTTTTACCTTATTTTAACCTTACAGGAAGCCCGTGAGCCTTATCGAACTTTAATGAGGCTATCTTGACATATGAAGGTCACGCTTCACTATTATATAGGATCCCCAGGAACAATTTTTGACGTGATGTGGTTAATTTCCCGAGACAAGTGATGTGAACAATCCTACATGCTTCCTCTGATGAACAACTACCAATTTCATTTGATTATTGATGTTATCAGTGTTTAAAGATTAGGCGATTTTTTTTTTTGTCAGGAATAATGTGTACTTTAATTGTTGTACTAATAATTACAACATTCTGGTCGGACTTTTAAAGTCAGTTATGAGATACTCGGGATGAAACTAGCTTTCTTATTAAGTCTTATTAATTGATGGAGATTACATGACTGAATTAACATGTTAACATACTTGTAAAACTTAAAAGACATTGTAACATTTTCATAACAAACTAGTAACAATAAAGTCCAACAGATCGATTTTGTACATCTATACATTTCTCGCTAAAATACCACTTTATGTTTATAATTCACAAATAAACCACATTTAGGAAACCTTACATGACGTTTCGGTCGTTCCTCGACCATTATCAAGTGGCATCTCAAGATGAAGACGCAAGGAGCACTGTTCTACACCGTATAGCCCATGCAGGGAAAAAATGAAAGGAGAGTTGAAATGTGAAAGAAATATAAAACACAAGTCAACAGAAAAGGCGAGAAGGCAAATGATAGGTCAAATTACGAGTGTTTTGAAGACTAGAGCATTTGTCAATATAGTGAAAAAGACAGACATGGACTTAAATTCATAAGAGAAATGCTGTGTATAAGATGCAAGACGCCATCTGTGAATGGTAGATAGTGTGAGCAAAGGAACAGTTTACAGAACAACTATAAGCTCTGTCACGACAGAAAAAGAGTTATTAGTGTCATAAAGGTCAATATTTCTGTATTTTATTTTTTTTGTTTATCAGAAGGAAAGCGGCCAGTGTCACTAATGTATTAGAGAAGGCAGGAGGAGCAGGATATGGAATATACGGCGAAAGCATCACTGACAGAAGAATTATACTCTGAATTACTACGAAGTGAAATACTTTGGGGAAGTGCAAGTTTTATATGTAGAGGGCAGAGGACATTAACATATAGTAGAGTAAAAATATGTGTAAGGCAAAGTACAGAAGTTTTTGCAGGAGTGGATGTAGGAGAGAAGAACTTAGGCAAAGTTAATGAAACTGGGAGGACAACCAAACAAAGATTGCGCTTTCAAGAGTAGAAATTTACCAAGTCGAGAAATTGGAGATCGCAGAAGCCGGAGGCGCTGAGAAAAAGAAACAAGATCACTTTTATTGATAGAAAAAATATGGAAAGAGTGAATGTACATATTGCAGTACAGTTTCACAGATGAGTAGATATGAACATCAGAGGAAAGTAAGCAATGAGTCTGTTTCCTGGAGTTTACCAGTCAACTTGGAACTTAATAGACGGAGCAATTTTAAGATCAAGGCAAGATTGGAAAAAAATAATCATCTGCCGGAAAGTAAAGACATTTACACAACGAAAGCAGAGAAAAAGACGCACCCCAGTAGCGGGATGTACAATAGTTCCGAAATACTCAGTGTAAATGTCAGCCTTTGGCGTTGGTATCAACTAAGTTTTAGTTCATACTAGCGCCAAAGGTTTGAGAAATGTTACCTTGGAAGGGAAAATAAAGAGTTAGAATCCAAACATAGATGAATAAGATCAAGAACTACTTCAGAAGATATAGGAAGATCAAGTAGTCAAAGCTTGTCCTTCACCCTGAGAAAACTGACAACATTCCTGCAAGGAATATTAGGTGAGAGAGACTCACCATCAAATACTACTGATAATTTTACCACTTCTTTTACTTCCTTCTTTGACCTTCTTCCTAACCTGTCTTGTTTTTCTCGCTCGTCCGAAACATTAAACGTTTCCTCTCTAAGTGTAGTTTATTTGTAACTTGTTCTTTCCACGGCATTGTGATATATTTTTTTCTATTAATTATATATATATATATTATATATATATATATATATATATATATATATATATATATATATATATATATATATATATATATATATATATATATTACACTTAAATAATTTCAGGCGTGGCTTGAAAGTGCCTGACTGCATAACAAACCCAAATTTTGTAACAATTTAGTACCAGAATTGAGGATAAAACTTAAACTCCTTAATATTAAAGATGAAATATTAAAACATATGAAGTATAAGAGGAATGGGAAGCAGCTACGGTGGCAGGGAATGAAAACAATCTTATTGTAAACACTTAAATATATAGTCACTGTTGTCTACCGAGTTCACACCGTGGGGATAATTTTGCCGTAATTGTCACATATTGGACGGGACTGGAATGCATTCGTGAAAGTTGATTATGTGACATTAGCAGTAGAAAAGAAATCACTTTGTGAAGTGTCCAATATATTTGGTTACAGCCACAGAACAGAATAATACCCCACCGCTGAACATTTGCATAGATACTTAAAAACACTGCACACTTAACAGTGTTTGACGCAACATAATTTACGACGTCGCATGCTTAATTAAGTGTCTAACGTAACATTAGAAAATTCAACACAAACAAGCTGACTAATGATGCATTTAAAAAGGCAAGTAGACAATATTTTAGCTCATGATAAATAAGTATTATACGTGAATATTCATATAAAGAACTAACCTCATTTACAATATACATATAAATAGTAGAACTTCATTTTAATTATAATATATATATATTATATATATATATATATATATATATATATATATATATATATATATATATATATATATATATATATATATATATATATATATATATGTCGTGCCGAATAGGCAGAACTTGCGATCTTGGCTTAAATAGCAACGCTCATCTTGCCATATAGGACAAGCGAAAATTTGTGTATACAATAATTTCCCCAAAATCATTCTGAACCTAACGAAAAAAATATATTTCACTGTGTTTGTTTGGTATTAAATTATTGTAAACAAATCTAAAATATATTTAGTTGGGTTAGGCTAAAATAAATTGTTCTTGTTATAATAAGGTTAGGTAAGTTTTCTAAGATTCGTTTGGAGTAAAATGAAATTTTTTTCCATTAACATTAATGAAAAAATATATCTATAAACGTATAAGAGAAAATTTTAGAAAGGACTTAATTTTAAATGAGTTCTTGCTAATTGACCAGTTTTACATATTCGGCACGACATATATATATATACACACACACGTGTTTGTGTCGTGCCGAATAGGCAAAACTGGTCAGTTAGCAAGAACTCATTTAAAATTAAGTCTTTTCTAAAAATTTTTTCTTATACTTTTAAAGATATATTTTTTCATTTATGTTTATTTAAACTTTAATAATATTGTACCAAAAGAACCTTAGAAAACTTACCAAACCTTATTATAACAAACACAATTTAATTCAGCCTAATCTAACTAAATATATTTTAGATAAGTTTACAATAATTTAATAATAAACAAACAATTAAATATATTTTTTTCGTTAGGTTCAGAAAGATTTTTGCGGAATTATTGCATACACAAATTTTCGCTTGTCTTATTCGGCAAGAAGGGCGTTGCTATTTAAGCGGAAATCGCAAGTTTGCCTATTCGGCACGACATATATATAATATATATATATATATATATATATATATATATAATTATATATATATATATATATATATATATATATATATATATATATATATATATATATATATATATATATATAACGTTTGCACATAGACTTGCACTTATGTTAACTAAACAATTATCGTAAAAAAATAACGTAAAGAGAGAGCTTAGAACGACGCTTAGGTCACCTTACTCGCTGATCCTCAGTCAAGTCTCGGAGAGAGAAGGGGTAAGAAACTTAACTATTCAGTTATATAGTGGCATCAAATTCTATATTATGGAAGAATGGGAGGGGATGGGTGGGAACCCTAAAGACCATGACACGATACTACCATAGTAACGTAATCCCAACAAGGTGGAGTAAGTGACACATTCTACAGTGGAAACCCTTTAATATCCAAGGAGGTTCGCTTAGTGATTTGTTAAAATCCATGTGGTCGAGACGTTGTGCTTAGTGAGGTATCCACTGTATCCAAGTGTCATTCTCCAATATTATCATTTACATACAATTAGTAGTATTTATTCAGACATCCCAATATATAACAAATGAGGAATTTTGACGAACAGAGGACGTTGATGGTATATTTGTTTGTAAGGAGAAATGAGAACAATCTGAAGTTGGTCTTGGTCAGACGATTGCTGTGCTTTTGATCATCTGACTGAGAAGTTTCGCTGGCTCACTGGTTCACCACGAAAAAAAAAATATATACCACATCATAAGATGGGATGGTACGTTTTTCACCCAGTATGAAAAAAATGGACCATTATCGTGTCCTAGGATTTACATGATCAGGAATACCTTACAAAGCAAAGTTAAGATGACCAAGGTGAAGTTGAGGGTGGGGTTTTCGCCTCTTCAAAATACCATTCCCAGTGAAACCAAGATGATATTGAATGGTAGACAGTTAACAACAGACATAAGGAAAACCAAAAAGGCCGATAAACAGCTTGTAAAAAAAATTAGAAACCAGAAACGAGTGTTGATAAATATCTTCACAGGATGATGGATGGAAAAGACGCATCGTAAACAATGACCTTTTATATGATGGTGATTATAAAGCGAACCTCAAGGTTTTACAATGAAGGAAACGGATGAGAGGTGATACAAATTAAACAGTTAAATAAAAAAAAGAATTGTTGTATATAAACAACTGGTAACAGGATGATGCGTGATACAGGTATAAACCAAAGTCCATTAACATGAAATGAATAAGAACCGCTGACATCCATGACGGCAGAAGAGGCAGCGATAACTATGGTCAATGACTGTGAGAGGAAGGGGAAGGGGGATATTACGTGCTGTTGTCTGGCTGTGTGATGGTGGGTGGGGTAGTAGCTTCCTTGACGGTGTCGAAGACTAGATTCTCGGCTTTAGCATCGGGTGGTGAAGAGTACATTAACAGAGCGACGATGCCAAGAACCATGACGATGAAGGTGGCAATGGCGGAGTAGCAGCTGAGGGCTGTGCAGCCAGGCTCGACGTTGTACAGGGGAGGTATGACAGCCTTGGGCTTCTCTTCTGTGGCCTCACCTTCCTCTCCCTCTCCTGCTTCACCCTCTTCCCCTTCATCGGTATTTTCCTCTTCGTCGTCTTCCTCGTCAGCACAGGAACCGGCCTCCAGATCTCGCTCCAGTTCCTGCTGGTGGTTCAGCAGCTGTTGCCGGTGGTTCTGCGCGTTGTTGCACAGAGCTTCTTCTTTCGTCTCGCTCATCTGCAATATGCAACGTACAGTTAATTGTGTGCGTTACTTGTGCTTCAGTCAAACACACACACACACTAGGTGAGTACACACACACACATTATATATATATTATATATATATATATATATATATATATATATATATATATATATATATATATATATATATGCAGAGAGAAAGAGAGAGAGAGAGAATGAGTGAGTGACTCGGTCATATCTTGCCTAGCGACAAAATTCAAATTCAAATTCAAATTCAAAGTTTATTCTCTATAAGGATTACAATGCTGTTTACAGAATTTGGTTATTGTATTGTTTACATGTAGTAAAATAATAATTACAGAGTGTACCACTAGAACACCTAGCATGGCTAGGCATTTCGGGCAGACTTAAATTAAATCTTAAGTTTAAAATATTACAAATTGTACTGTACTATCGTTTCCTCGGATACTAGCGACTTGTGTAGTCATTCTGTCTGACACTCTTGGGTTATCCTAGGTTCTCTACACTTATGCTACTATGTATGATAATTAATGCAACTGTGTATACCTGAATAAACTTACTTAACTGAGTAATTTTACTGTTAAGGAAATTTATCCCCGACCATTTGAACAACAGATCCATTTTCTTTGGTGTTGGTTGGGCGAGAGAAAATGAAAGGGCGTGGTTGTTGGAGGGTAGAACAGTGAAGGATGGAAGGAGGAAGGGAAATAGTTGGAAGGAATGACAAAGAAGATGTGTGGGGAGAGGCTTGTAGAAACGATGTAGGAACACATGATAACTTCATCACAGCTTCCACCAGAGCATCCACCACACACCACATCCTCCAGCACACATCACATCATCCAGCACACATCACATCCTCCACCACACACCACATCCTCCACTACACATCAACCCTCCAGCACACACCACATCCTCCACCACATATCACATCCTCCACCACACATCACACCTTCCACCACACATCACACCCCCTATCACATACCACATCCCCCACCACACATCGCATCCTCCACCACACATCCCATCACCACACATCAAGAAATTAGAGAAAGTGCAAAGGTCTGCAACAAGGCTGGTTCCAGAGCTAAGGGGAATGTCCTACGAAGAAAGGTTAAGGGAAATCAGTCTGACGACACTGGAGGACGGGAGGGTCAGGGGTGACATGATAACGGCATACAAAATACTGCGTGGAATAGATAAGGTGGACAGAGACAGGATGTTCTAGAGATGGGACACAAACAAAGGGTCACAATTGGAAGTTGATGACTCAGATGAGCCAAAGGTATGTTAGGAAGTATTTCTTCAGCCACAGAGTTGTTAGAAAGTGAAACAGTCTGGCAAGTGATGTAGTGGAGGCAGGAACAATACATAATTTTAAGACGGGGTATGATAAAGCTCATGGAGCAGGGAGAGGGAGGACCCGGTAGCGGTCAGTGAAGAGGCGGGGCCAGGAGCTGAGTCTCGACCCCTGCAATCACAGTTAGGTGAGTACAATTGAGTACATCACATCCTCCTCCACACACCACATCCTCCACCATACATCACATCAAAAAGAAAAAAGGCAAGGCACTACAGTGGATCAGGGAATACCTGTCAGGAAGTCAACAGCGAGTCATGGTACATGGGGAGGTCTCAGTGGGCGCCTGTGATGAGCGGGGTTCCACAGGGGTCAGTCCTAGGACCAGTGCTGTTTCTGGTATTTGTAAACGATATGACGGAAGGAATAGACTCCGAAGTGCCCTTGTTTGCAGATGATGTGAAGTTGATGAGAAGAATTCAATCGGACGAGGACCAGGCAGAACTACAAAGGGATCTGGACAGGCTGCAGACCTGGTCCAGCAACTGACTCCTGGAGTTCAACCCCACCAAGTGCAAAGCCATGAAGATTGGGGAAGGGCACAGAAGACCGCAGACAGATACAGTCTAGGGGGCCAGAGACTACAAACCTCACTCAAGAAAAAAGATCTTGGGGTGAGTATAACACCAGGCACATCTCCTGAGGCGCACATCAACCAAATAACTGCTGCAGCATATGGGCGCCTAGCAAACCTAAGAACAACATTCCGACATCTTAACAAAGAATCGTTCAGGACCCTTTACACTGTGTACGTTAGGCCCATATTGGAGTATGCGGCACCAGTTTGGAACCCATACCCAACCAAGCAGGTAAAATAACTAGATAAATTGCAAAGGTTTGCAACAAGACTAGTCCCAGAGCTAAGGGGTAAGTCCTGCGAGGAGAGGTTAAAGGAAATCGACCTGACGACACTGGAGGACAGGAGAGATAGGGGGAACATTAAAACGACATAAAATACTGAGAGGAATTGACAAGGTGGACAGAGACATAATGTTCCAGAGATGGGACACAGCAACAAGGAAGTTGGAAGTTGAAGACTCAGATGAATCACAGATGTTAGGAAGTTTTTCTTCAGTCACAGAGTAGTCAGGAAGTGGAATAGTTTGGGAAGCGATGTAGTGGAGGCAGGATCCATTCATAGCTTTAAGAAGGGGTATGATAAAGCTCATGGTGCAGTGAGAGTGACCCAGTAGCCACCAGTGAAGAGCCGGGGCCAGGAGCTATGAATCGACCCCTGCAACCACAACTAGGTGAGTACACACCACACCCTCCACCACACACACACCACATCCTCCACCACACACAAACACACCACATTCAATACACACACCACATCCTCCACCACACACACCACATCCACCATACATACCACACCCTCAACCACACACACCACATCCTCAACCACACACACCACACCCTCCACCACACACACCACACCCTCCACCACACACACCACATCCTCCAGACACACACACACTACATCCTCCAACACACACACCACATCCCCCACCACACACACCACATCCTCCACCACACACACCACATCCTCCATCACATACACCACATCCTCCACCACACACCACACCCTCCACCACACACACCACATCCTCCAGTACACAGTATTGACTCCAACAGACAAGTCTGCAGCCACTGAGACGCTGTCTAATGAATACTCAATCCACACTATTAATCTTAATCAATTACTATCCATCAATGTCAACCACAATTTTTTTAATGGTCAGCTTGTTTTCTAAGACATGTGGAAGTGACACAGATACGGTGAGTTGTGTGGACATGGGTATATAATGGACATGTGTAGGTAATTTATACACACTTCGGAGTGTATAATAATTTGTGCAACTGTATTTATGTGTATCTGTACCTAAAAAAACTTACTGTGTATGTGGGAGGGGTGGAGAACGGTAAACCCATGTGGGTCATTCAGAGAAGGGACTGGTTTAAACTCGATCCTCCGTCCGTTAAGGCTATATTGGCAGACAAGTACACACATGAATATGTCCTCCTGTTCTCCACGATTCTCCTTTGTATGGACTGATAAAGTCACTGTGTGGTGAAACGTTTCCTCATTAAAGATACCCAAGTGTTGCACATGTGTCTAATATATCAACTAATTAATGGGTTATTTGTGTACTGTACTTCACAACAACACTTTATATCTCAAGATCGTGTTTCGAGGTAATTGTGATCATAAAGTCAGTCTGATACGGTATTATGTTCCCCAGGAGCACTACCCAATCCCTTAAAAAAATTTATCTTTTCTAAACCGTCCAGTTCTCCTATTTATTAGTATCATCATGGAGAAGTGCTAAAACCGTAGGAATTATACAGCACCTGTGAGGGGAGGAGGATGGAAGGTATTCAGGCTCAGTTCAGGGAACTGGAGCACGGATCCAATTCCCTAGATTAAGAGCCCCTCACCAGCGTCAACGAACCTCCCTTGAGGGGACAGTCCTCTTACTTAATGATGGATCGATTTAATCTCAAGTTCCCTGTCTTCCCATCTCCTTCCTGACCTATTATCAGCCTCCTCAAATCCCTAGATCATTTGTGACCTCCGTCTTTCCCTCCAGATTATCTTGTCTGTTGTCACGGGTTCGCTTGCTCACTCTCCCATCACCTCCCGTGTCTCCTCAGAATACCTTTAGATGAATTTTCCCTTTGTATCTTCCTGAAACATCTGCTTTGTTTTTTTTCTTCATTATCGGTCCCGAAATGCCTAGCCATGCTAAGCGTTCTAGTGGTACACTCTGTAATCACAATTTTACTACATGTAAACCAAACAATAACCAAATTTCTGTAAACTCAGCATTGTAATCCTTATAGAGAATAAACTTTGAATTGAATTGAATTGAATTTCGTCTTCTTTTTCAATTTCTTCTAATTTTCAGCTATAGTTTGCATTTTCTCCTGTTCCTATCTTCCCTTGCATTTTCTACTCATTAACAGTGTAGCTTAGTCATTAATCACACCTAAATACTGCCAATTACTTCCTTCTCTCGTTTTTTTTAATTGCTATTTCGATTTACCATTTTCCTTTCTTCTCTGTTGAAAATAGTCTAGTGTACAAGGTTCTCATATGATTTCTGCCTCACCAGATGGAGAGACTGTCAGCTACTTCACATGGTCGATATCCTCATGCTAATGAGTCTGTAGCTGACTAGACTCCCTGTGTGTGTGTTGTTGTTGTTGTTGTAGCTGACTAGACTCCAGTACAGTACCCTGTGTGTGTGTGTGTTGTTGTAGCTGACTAAACTCCAGTACAGTACCCTGTGTGTGTGTGTTGTTGTAGCTGACTAGACTCCAGTACAGTACCCTGTGTGTGTGTGTGTTGTTGTAGCTGACTAGACTCCAGTACAGTACCCCGTGTGTGTGTTGTTGTTGTAGCTGACTAGACTCAGTACAGTACCCTGTGTGTGTGTGTGTTGTTGTAGCTGACTAGACTCCAGTACAGTACCCCGTGTGTGTGTTGTTGTTGTAGCTGACTAGACTCCAGTACAGTACCCTGTGTGTGTGTGTTGTTGTAGCTGACTAGACTCCAGTACAGTACCCCGTGTGTGTGTTGTTGTTGTAGCTGACTAGACTCCAGTACAGTACCCTGTGTGTGTGTGTGTTGTTGTAGCTGACTAGAC